GATGGTGTGACACATCATCACATATAACACAACACACATTTTTCCAGTTAAAGAGAAACTAGAAGCTTTAATAATATGCCAGGGGTATAGTACTATATGATGCAGTCTAAGATCAAAGTGAAAACAAATATAACTTCTTTGCAATGTACACTAATTTTCTAGATTATATTTTAAGTTTAAAAAACACAACAAACTAGGCAAAAAGTGGTCAAAATAGTCGAAAGATAGTGGCATTAGTCCTGTAATTATTATAGTTAAATGTACTTATTCAGAGTGGGTATCTAGACAGTGCACCCAATACTTCACTGTCAGTCATTTCTACATCTGAGTTAATATTAATTCATCTGAGTTAATATTTCTAACTTAAACAATCTGCAGGACTGTGGAACTGAAGGGACACATTACCAGGAATGACTAGCAAACAGCAAAATTAGCAGAGGAAAGGATAGTTTAATTAGTGGAACATGGAGACCCTTAAAATGAGAATGGATCATTAACACCTGTAGAGTGGAAAGACAGTAGCAGGAATCAGGGAGTAGATAATGAGCCATGAAGTTAATTGACTCTCTCAGCACTGCCTGGATAGAAAGACCACTGCCCCTCCCAAACAGTTGGTTTTAAAGTTTGGGTGGCACAGGAATCAAAGATGGGGGCAGGGGGAGTGGCGCAACTGCACCACTGCAGCCCCCTTGGATCTGCCCCTGGTCAAACATATAATCCCTAGGCTGGATCTGGCCCCTGGAGCCACTCCATCCAGCCCATCAAGCAATAGGTGGACCAGGGATTTTGGAATGTAGCTAATAATGGGCCTGGTCTGCTACAGCATCCAGAGTCCTATGGCCCCGGTGGACCTGCAAATCAGCAACAGGGGGTGAGTGAAGGCTGTACCAAGATAGACCACGCTTGCCCTGCAGCTGCTTGGCTTGACACCACATGCACTCCCATCACTATGGTAAGTGGTAGCCTGGCCTGCAGCCCTTTGCCCAGTGCCACATTGGTGGTGACTGCCAATGACAAAATTATGCAGACAGGCACTTGGGAAACAGGGGCTGTGGTGACTTACAGTTGCAGCCATGTCTCCAGTATGAACATGCAGCTGCTAGTGGTAGCCCTTTCTTTTATGCCCCTCCCTCAAGCTGGTGCCTAGGGTTGTTGTCCTAGTTATGCCACTAGGAGTTGCTGCCACCAGTACCTCATGCCCCAGACTATATCTGGTCTGTAAGGAGCCCTGTGGTACAGATCTGGCCAGGGACACAGTGTGAGTTTGACACCCCTGACCTATGCACTCATTTCTGGCTTTACCAATCCAACCCTTAATGGTACTATGGGCAGGAAGCTATTTTATGTACATCTTGGGAGGGGAAAAAAAGATACTTAAATATGAGTGATGTAGAGAAAAAGGTACTTACTGTGAAGGAAAGACAAGACTGTTCGGATTGTTTGTTGGTCTAACCCACAAAACATAAACCTACAACCCCAGGCTTCACTCCTCACTGTTATGCAGAACTTGCTTAGGACACAGCAGTAAATTTTTTAAAAGCACCTCACTCCAGAGCAAGAGGTGCATATAAAAAATTTTGATGGTTATTGAAGCAAGAAAAATAATCCTAGGAAAGACTACTAACACACTGAAGGACAGAAGAAGAATTCAGAAGGAAAGCTGGCTAGAGATAGCAGAATTAAACTCGTGTGGACAAATGAACATGCCACACCTACTGAAGAGTAATCAAAAGCACAAATACAGAATAGAACATAACTGACTGCATGGCAGTATTACTGAGAATCATCTCATGGGTTTTGGATCACAGACTCAACATGAATCAGCAATGTGACACAGCTGCAAAAAAGCAAATGCAATTTGGGTTGCATCACCAGAACAAGAAGTGTTAGTTCCATTCTGCTTGGTGCTGGTTTGGCCTCATCTAGAGTACTGTGTGTAGTTCTGGGATCTTCTTTTTAATAAGGATGTGGAGAAGTTGGAGAGAGAGCAGAGACTGATGACATAAAAGGAGATGGATTGAAAGACAAGCCACACATGGAAAGATTGAGTTAACTAGGTATGTTTAGATTGCAGAAAAGGAGATTAAGGGGAAGTTGGGGGAAGGATGTGATATCAGCTTTCACATATTTGAAAGGCTGCCATGAAAAGGAGGAGGACAATTCCTTTCTCATCTGACAGAGAGAAGGGTTTAAAGGAAGTATTTCAAATTGCAGCAAAGTAGAACAACAGATTAAGTTCAATTTAAATTGAACAAATTAACAAATTAAGTTGAACAACAGATGAGATGAACTGACAATGGGGAAAATCATTTTCTGTACATTACCAGATTTCAATCAGAGACAATACACAACTACTTTGCCAGACAAATTAGATATGTCAAAACAACATTTCACTGGTTCATCTTATATGATAAATATGACTTTATTTCTAGCAGCTTCTGAAGCTTCACTATCCTAATCTAAGTAAATCAGTCACATACACCACATTAATGACCTCTATATTTGTATAAAATCACTTACGTAATCTGTAGCATTAACATCTATGCCAGCTTTGAGTAACATCTTAATTAGGTTTTCATTCTGCTTACTCTTTGACACCTGTTTAACACATGAAGAAGAATTCAACACTGGTTGGAAAGTTAATTCATGTAAGACTCTGCTAGCTAGATCTGAGCTGGCCCAGATAGTTCTATTGAGAGGAACAAAAGGGCCTTCTTCATGCAGTTAATGGTGCAACTTTGCTATCTTAACCTTGCATCAGTTATACTCAGAGACAAATCAAAAGGACCTTATTCATGTTCATATTTTTACTCAGTCCTTACTTTGAAAATAGTAACCCATATTAGTTTTGTTTATGTTCATAGCCTTGAACCAAAAGAAGAATGTCCCACCTGAAATAAGATGGCTGTATTTGTTATATTTATAGTTGGAAAGGTTAGTATACAGGCTTGTTTCTACTTTTAAGCTGTTCTTACCATGAGGAGATATCCAAGGAGTAAAACAGGCATTAGGATGATGATGAGCAGGTAGTCAAGGAAATTAAATCGTTTTTTCACAGCATAATGTAAGCACGTACGCTCTTTCTAAAGAGAAAAGAAACCTTTTTTCAGGATCAGGTACAAAGTCATTCATTTTGTGTGTTCCATGTATTTCCTTACTGGTCATCTGTTTGGAACATTTTCCTTCTATTCATATTGAAACAAAGATTCATGCAATCTGCTTAATTCAGAATGAAATATATTTAGTTGCCCAAAGCCATGGTAACAGGTCTTCAGGTGAGTGGAGCATGATGGGGGGGAACCCTTTTTTGACTTGCAGTTCAGATAAACTGGGATTCAGTTTACTTTCCATGTAGCGATTGTTCTAGTCTGGGGCCAGGATAGTAATAATAGTCCCTACAGCACCATTTTTAATGTGTTAGAGCCTTTGGATCTTTGTCATTAGACTCTTTTGGTCATTTCTACAACCTAATCTTTCACTGTTCTGTATGCTAGGTAAGTGTAACAAAGCCTCTAGCTGAATAGTAAGTAGGTGCTGAAATTAGCACTTCTGGATCCCCAAAGTATTAATACCTTGAGGGTATATCTATGCCTCCTCCTGAGTGAAACTGGGCACAACCTACTCACTTATGTCCCCTTCATGAGCACCCAGGCCCATAGGTTTGTAGAATATACAACTCAATGCAGCCCTCAACACAAAATGTGTGAAAGCCTGAGCCCAGTTCTTCTATAAATACTTATGGCCAGGGTGATCATGGCAGGGGTATTGAGTCTGAAGCTCTGATTCACCAGTGATATGCCCCATCTTGCTTGCCAGAACCTAAAGGGCAGATCTATCAGCTTGGAGGCTACAGCAGACCCTTGCATGTCTTCCATGGTCCCACCATCAGCGTACAAACTGCATTCATGTATTTTACACTATGCTGGTGTAATACTTCTGGCGGGTGAAATGGCCCACTTCCGCAAATGCCCAGTCGGCAGCTCCATATGTTCAGCTGTACCCCTGGACTCCCACAAATCTCTAGGCCATGGATGAAATCCATTTTATTCAGGTAGAGTGTCGAAGGGAAAGCCTTCTCCACACCCCAGGTCAGGCTATGAGGCTGTTATGTGACTTTCAGTTGCAGTGATGGCACCTCTTGCTTGTAACCACAGTTAACAATAGTTGTGGTACCTGCAGTAGTGACTAGGGATCATACAACAAGTGTTAAACCATGTAAAATGCCCAAACTGCATGCCCTAAAACTTCTTTTTAAAGGGTAAGGGCAGACATAGGGTGGGAAGAATGGATACTATTAACCAATAAACAATGCGATGGCAGTAAATGCCATGTTAAATTCCACACCTTGCTGGGAAGGAGACAGTTTGGAGGGTATGAGCTAAACTGAAGCAGATAAAAAGAAAGAAGAATAAAGAGAAGGGGCAGGGAGAAGGGATAGACAAAGGGCAATTGTGGAGTGGAGCTGAGGTGAAAGGACTATAAAGGAGGCGGCAGGAAGGTTTGGAGCAAACAGCCAAGGACCAGAGAGCAGAGAAAGTCTAATCAAAGCTAGGAAATTATCTGATATCTGTAGTGTTCCAGCTCTTTCTACCAATTGGAAGTTTTGGGTCCTCACTGGGATTTCTTTCCCCAAGGTTACATGACTATGGGGTAGGCGGAGATGGCATATCCTCCTAGTGGAAGGTCTTTGCACAGTTCTGGGTTCAGAGCCCTTATTGGACTCTCTGTTACTCTCTCCCTTCACCAGTGCAGCAATTTCAATTTTAACTGCTTCTGTAAGTGCTCCCACCAGCCTGACTCTCTTGCTGATTCCTAACAATTCAGGAAAAGTTCTTAATTTGCAATTTCCTGCCTCTGGCAGGGGGGCTGGACTCAATGATCTCATGAGGTCCCTTCCAGCCCCTAATGTCTATGAAATCTATGAATACTGCAAGGGATTCTCCTTTTCAAAGTTAATTCAATGTAAACTGCATATCTTTATAGCAAAATGCAGAATGGTGGAGTCAAATGAATGGGCTCCATACATCTCAGGCACATCTGACATTGGCCAGAGAAGCACACTTGGAAATGAAAAAATAAAATGGTAAATATATTTCTAGGAGTGCACAGTACACAGTGAAATAGCATGTGAGACACTTAAATATAGTACTGAGGAAAGTATAAGGTAGGAAGCAAACATGGAGTTACCAGCAATTAGACAATGACACAGGTGGCCTAGGGCAGTTGTGGAGGCTGGATGGGATGGTACAGGCAGGGCCAGCCCTAGGGAGCCTTGAATCAGGGTGACCGCCCCAGGCCCCATGCTTTGGGAGGCCCCGTGGAGCCGGGCCACACTGCCACTGGCTTCACATGCAGTTGCTTGGCACCCTCTCCCCCCTCCGCTGACGAATATGCTGCCTCCAGCCACTCAGGACCCCTCCCTGCCCCAGCCCCAAATCCACCTCTGGCTTCTTGGCATCCAGGGTCAGGGTCCCACACAGGCTGATTTGCCCCCAGGCTCTACACCCTGCTCAGGTTGCCTCTGGGTACAGGAACAACAAATCCCAAATTTGGGGGGGGGAGGGAGGCTGGTTTAGATCAGGGGTCAGCAACCCCCAGCACGCAAGGCCATTTTGCTCTGCACGCCACTGCCAGCCCAGGCTCTAAGCAGCTGCTGCCAGCCACAGAGTCCAGGCTGCTCCCAGCAGGTGGCTGGGAGGCTGCAAGCCCTGCTGCAAACAGACCGGGCTCCTTGGGCTGGCTGCAGCCGGGAGGCTGCAAACAGCTGCTCTGGGCTCCGGCATGTCAGCACTCTGGCCCCTTCCAAGGTAGACATTGTTTTTTTCAGCACACCAGCCAAAAAACTTTGCTTACCCCTGGTCTAGATGATCCTTAGAATCCCTTGCTTACCCCTGTGAATCTATATTTTGACCCCTGCTAGAACCAGAGCTGTAAAGAAGCAAAATCTTCCAATCTTTGTGTTAGTTTTTGAACTTCACTCTAGCTGGTTACCTTCTCCATTTCCCTTGCCTCCCAGGAAATCAACCACAGCTACTGCAGAAGAAAGGAGAGCAGAAAATACCCAGCAGCTCAAGGTGGCTGCATTTTTTTCTTGTGTAAAAGGGGTTAGTCTGCCCCACTGTGATGCAGGAACATCTGAGAAGTGTTGAAAGTTGGCCAAATGGGTGTAAGAGAGATGATGTCTTAGACCTTTCCTCCTTCAGGCTTGGGAGGGTACAGTGAAGAACATATAAAGAAAACTTCAGGAACATATAAAAATTCAGACCTGGATGAGTGCAGAGCTGCTGTGTGGCTGGGTAGGCACAACTGATCAACATTAATTGATATCAGGTGTGACCTTTTTCATTATAAATTGACAATGCTAATTGTCATGTATATGGTGGGGTGGGCAGGGACATTCAAAATAAAGCCGAAAACTTTAATTTACTTTAATTACCTCATGATTTTAGGGTGAATTTCATTGGGTGTTTTGGATGTGATGTGCAGTGTCTTGAACCTTTGACTTTGGCAATACTGCTAACATTTTCCACCCTACATATTATTCCCAAAGTTCATCATTATGAAGGAAATATCACATGGCTGTTTTTTAAAAAAAACGTTTTTGTTACTTACCTTATTTTTTAGGTTGATGTCAGCATTTCTTTTCAAAAGATAACTGACTATTCTATTGTGTCCCTGTTTGCAGGCACAGATTAGGGGTGTGTCTCCACCAAAGCTGTCCTGAATGTTCAAATAATTGCTATCCTCTTGCAACAGCAGTTGAACTTCATTGAAGTCATTATTATAAGCTGCCTGGCAAATGGGCTAGGGAAAAAAAGGAAGGACAAATTAATGAAATACATACATGATGTGGCCAATTTTTGCAAGGAATCAAGACCTTCCCCTGAGATAAGGCAAGTTCCTTTTAAAGCAGATGGGAAACAAGCACACTAGTATCTCCTGTGAAGTACTCGGCATCTGGCAGGATCAGCCCCTGTGAAAGGTAATGAAAGCTAAGATATAACTGATAAACAAGTAAGTCTAGCACAGATATGGAGACATTTCTATGCAGGGGCGACGCATAGGGGGTGCACCCGGGTACATGTGCACCTTCTGCGTGTGGCGGTGCACCCCCTGCAAAAAGGCATCACTAACACTGTCAGCAGTGCCTGCAGGTGGTCGCCACTCACCACCCTGCTGCTGGCACCTCCAGTGTTGTCTGTGGGCAGTCCATGATTGCTCCTGACCGCCGCTGAGTGGTTGCCGACCCAGGGTCGGTGCTCACCACCACCCCCTCTTCCTCCTGCTTCCGACAGTGCCGGCAGAGTCTGAGGGAGCTCCCCATTCACCACTGCTGGGCTCCCGCTGCTGCCACGCTCCCACCACCACTGGCGCAGCCGTGCCCCTCCGGCCACCGGGAGCATGCGCCGTTCATGCCTCTATGTTACCGTAGCTAGAATTGAACATAGGATTAAAAAAAGAGAGAAACTGTCCAGACAAGTTCCTATAAAAACCATTTGTTCCTATAAAGACCAGAGTCAAGACTCTGAGGGCTACAATGGGAGCTGGATTTGTTCATTAATATAGATGTGCATATCAGTATCAGAGCACAGCTTAAAAGAATATGAAAATCACATGGACTTTGGAATATGAATACTGTTAACTCTTCCAGAAGAAGGAAGAAAATATTAAAAGATAAATACTACAAATAGAGTATGTGTGTTTATACATACATCTATGCAAGAATATTTGTCATGATGCCCTCTTTGGGGGGGTATGCTGAAGAATACTAAGCATCTTTTATAGGATTATTTACATGTATAACATTTCATGAGATCAGGCCAAGTTAGGTAAAATGGCTTGTCTCGTCTTACTTGTCATCTATTACTCATAACACTAGGGTAGTAATTGTCTACATATCTAAAAGGGAGAAACTAAAGAAGGAAAAAGATAAAGTGGATGTGCAGTAGTACAATAAGCAACCACCGCTGCAGCCTGCCCAGTCCCTGCTGCCACCCAGGCTGAAGACCTTCAGTGTTACATTTCTGTGTTAGTAGAGAGTCAAGGGCTAGTACAGCTATCTAACTTGATGATGCCTTGGGCTAAACAGTAATTCAGATGAGATGGATGCTGCAATTATAGTTAAATTCCACCAGGTGGTGGTAGGAGATGCATCACAGTGCAACTATGTACATTCCCTCTTACCTTCAGATGGATCAGGAGAGGAAAGCATTAGGTTTGGCAGTACTGTAATAAACTTTGGTACTTCTTGTTCCTATTTCTTCCCAGAGGATGATGCTGTACACAGAACTGAAAGCTACTAGTGCAGTTCAGCAATTTGAATTCCTTCTTCTTGGTAGCTTTACTTTTGTTAGGTTAGGTATTTTTTTCTATATTTTTACCTAAGAAATCAATAACAGACCATTTCAGCCATGCAAAGAGCCTACTGACTTCATTGAAGCAAACTGCAGAGCACTATGAGTTCATTTCTGAACTAAGGACTCAGGACCACAAAAGGACTTGAAGACATACTTAATTACAGATACAGGGTATTTGCTGAACAAGAAGGTACCATTTTTACACAGTCCATTTTCTGAACACAACCACAGTTGAAGTTAAAATTGAGTGAATATTTTAAGGATTACCTAAAAAGACAGCATTTGTGGGAAGAAGAGGAAATGGTGATCAAAGTGATAAAGAATACAATTTCCTGCAAGAATAAATTGGGCTTAATTTTTTTGATCACAAGAGTTATCTTGAATGCTGATATTTGCACCTGCATCTCAGTTCCTGCATGGCTGTAGGACTGAACATTTTCATTTCCTCTTCGTAGCCCACAGATTTCTGTCTCTGCAACAACTAGAGTTGGTAGGAGCAAGTGAGGAGTCAGATGCCCTTGACACATCTTGTGCTTAAGATATGATTAATTGGTGCAAGGGGAGCCTAGGATCCTAATCCTGGGCTCCTCCTACACTGGCAATATGGCATAATAGGATCTCATGCTAGATCCCACAATCATGCCTCCTGCTATGCACAAGTGACATAGTAGGAAGCACGATTGTTGGGATCATGCATTAGATCCCATCATGCTTTCTTTTTAACATCTGTCAGTGACCTGCTGATAGTTGTGATGCTCAACTTCCAGCTATCCATTTTGCAGGTAGAAAGTGAAATTGAGGAGAACGATGCAGGCAAGTCATCTTCTGGGAAGCTGTCATTTTTTATTTTCCAGATAGAAAATGAAAATTTGAGGGGGAAATTTAAATATTCCCTTGGAAAAAAATGATTTTTAAAATGGGCTTTTTACCATCAAAAAGGCTTCAAATGAGAATTCCTTAGTTCCAAATACTAAAAAATTATGTGCTGACAGATGTGTGTGAGACAGGGGGAGGGGGAGAACTCACTTTACCAGAAGCAGCAGCACATTACTTAGACCTGGCTCTGCAGCATCTGTATAGATCGGGCATTTCGGGGGTGGGGGGGGGGTTGGTGCTTTTATCTAATAGCTGATTCAACCCTAGACATGTGGTATGGAAGCTAATGCTGAGAGGTGTCTGTGTGTGCGCATGTCCAATTTTGCTGGGACAGGCAGGCAGAACAGTGTCCACTTAGGGCTTTTTGGAGCTAATCAATAGGTCAGCTGGTAATGTCCCTCTGTTCCTTCCTTGAAAAAAGCTGTTTAAGAAGAGCTTGAACTAATGAGAGAGGCTTTTGTTTTGTTCATGGGCTGATAAACACTGTTATCAGCTCCCTGCTGGCTCCCTTGCCTGTCAGGTTTGCTGCAGACAGTATGAAGAAACAGGGAGAGGGAGACTGAAAAGCTCAGTATCATCAACAGATGCATGCACTGCACCGCCAGTGCTAGCTGAGGGCTGGGGTCTAGCAACACTTCTGCCCCTTGAGCAGCGAGCAGGGAAAAATCTGGGATGGTGCAGGCAGGGCTGGGGTTTACACCCCTCCCTAGTCAGCATGTCCTGCTGGGGCCTGGCCACACATGCCCTCAGCTCAGCACTGTTGAAGGGAAGGGAAGGTTGCTTTAGTGCCCCCCAGCTTCTAGCCTGAGCCACTGCAGGCATAAACCTGCATTTTTTCATTCCAGAGGGAATGTCTGAACAGTTGCAAACTGGTTCAAACTAGGCAGGTTAAACTAACCTGCAAAGATTGAAACAATTCAGGCTCAGGCTTTTTGAATGTCTGTCTCTAGCTAGTATGACTAGAGCAAAGAGGGAACAGACTGCATAACAGGAAAGATTGAGAGCTGGATTACTGCTGATGCATAAACTTAAGGTTTATTTTGGTCAGACTTTTCTACATTTTGTCCAAGACCTTGTCATTTACAGCTGTGGGTCTATTTATACAAAAAAGCAGGGACCACCTAATACAAATAATACTAGAAAGTGATATTCCTTGAGGAGGAGATGTTCCTTTAGCTCTACAATCTGGTTTGCTAGCTCTTCTCTTGCAGTGTCTTAAAAAATTACTCAGCAAAAGGCAACAGGCTGATTCTGAGATCAGTGTTTATGGCATGAAACTTGTGGGAAAAGTGCTAGTTGTATTAAGGTTGCAACTTTTCCTTCATTAATGGAAAATCAGTGCTGATAACAGCTATAGTGCCTTAGGCTGCCTATATACTGCTCATTTGCATTTTATTAGAACATGTCAGAGCAGACTCAATTAATAGAACACTCCGGTATTACCTCACCGTCATGTGTATTTAAGTCCCTGGCATGATTTTAAATGGCCATGGGGCACTTTATCTAAACCTTGTTGAATGGGATCCCACAGCCATTTTTAAATGTGTGGGGGCTTAATACATGTGATGATGAGGTGTTTTAATTAGAACACCTGTTCAGGACTATTCTAATTAAAATGCTCCCCGCCCCAAAGCACATTGTATAGGCAGCCTTAGAGTCATGAACTAAGAAGACACAAAGGCTGTACTGTCTTACATCTGGGAAAGGACTTTCTGCATCAGCATTTGAAGCGTCCCATTGTGAAGAAATTTTCTGTATTGCTGCTCTTGGGATAGATAACTCCATTGACCTGGGTTGCTGATCTGACAGCTCCTTCTGCATTAAGATTAACAAAGATATAGTAGTATTATTTTCAATTTGTTTCTAAACCTTGCTCAAAAAATCAATGATATTTTTTGTTTACTCTGTGTATGAATGAATGTACATTTTGAGGCATTCCTTACTAGTGGCTTTTAAGGTATTAGATAAAGAGGCCAAACGCAGTATTTGCATCTAGAGACAGGCCCGAGGTTTGACCTGTAGTAGTAAGTTTTTAAATGAATGTTGGCAAAAGATTCCAAAATAGTGACTACAGGAATAGATTATTTCTGTTTTACAAAACAGGTGCAGCCTAGACCAGTGGTTCTGCAAGCCTTCCTCATGTTGCTCCAGTAGCATTTCTAAGTCCTGAGTAGGAGGTGGTATCTTAATATCTTAAGACCATATTGGTTTTTTAACTGCAGTCACTTTTACTTGGTGGTTCAATTAATGTCACTTTGGAGTTCTTGTGTTCTTCAAGACTAAGTCATAAATTAATTTCCATCTGTGCAGGAGAAAGGATTGGGTTCAAGCTCTTTCCACCCAAACAACTGAACCATTACCAAAATCTCAAAGCATTTTGATTCTTAAGGCTTGAGTTGGATTTGATCTGGCTCTCTGTAGTCACTGGGCTCTCTCACTACCATTTTTTCTAAAATAACCATCATCTTTTTTTTACCAGGTAAACATAAACAGTCTAAACATTATAGATAATTAATTGGGCCTCATATCTGTAAATCATGTTATTTTGGATTATTTGGATTTGGAAGATTATTAAAAAAAACTAGAAAAGATTTAACCAACCTTTCAGTGTGTAAAGAAAAGTTAATGTAGCCAAATGAAATTATGTAGATCAGAGTTCTGTGTATGCACACATGGAATTTTAACTAACTATTTTCTTTTATGGGACTGGATCATGCAGATGATTTGATGGCCTCTTACTATCTAGCAGAAAAATGCTCATCTCTGTTCTCAGTTATATCTATGCAATTCCAGTTGAAGTTCATGGGAGCAACTAGATATGTGCATGCCTGAGGGCAGGGCACAAAACAATCCAGCAGCAGTAGCTTACATAAAATATAAAGTAATAGTAAATGGAGTAGTAAATAAAAGGTCTGAACTTCAGTGTACTCCAGGAACCTACAATGGCCTATAGACAATATAAAAGAGTTAGGGAAAACTAAGATTTAGGTAAGATAGTTCCTTTAAACTCCGTTTCCTCTTATACTGCTTCCTAAAGTAAAAACTATTTGTGGCTTAGAGTAATATTCACCACTGGTCACAGATTCCCACAGGAAAAAGCTGTTGTTGCTCAAACCCCATTGGATCCTCTGGGTAAGCACAGCTGATACAGAAGACACTGCAGCTCAAGGTCCAGTCTACCAGAGAAGTATGGAATTCTGCCCCAGGAAGGGTAAGGGCATGAGGCCTGGTAGACAATTGGTGCACTTAGACATGCAAGAGGGGACAGAGGTGCAGGTAGTGCTGTAATATGGTACACACCACAAAGAACTAGTCACTTTTCTTTAAAAATTGTAAGGAAGGGATTTGTAACAATTTCCAACAAATAGTCTATCTCTGCTCTTGTAAAGTGGTTTCTCCCTTCACAAAGCGTACATCTTAGCCCATGCCAGGAACTTTTTCTTGCATTAATTGATGCCCAGAAATCACACTGCAGTTGAGATGATATTAATAAAAGAGAAGAAAATCAATGTTGAAAAGGGAGAAAAAAGACAAAGGAAATTCATTAAGCCATGTTTGCTTGATGTTTTCAGTGTCCAAAAAATCTGTCAGTATCCAAAGCATCCAGCGGTTATAACTTGTTACTGCAATTACAGCTAATACAGTTATGTAGCCATACATTTTGAAGAAAATTACTTCCTCAAAAAAAACGGGTAAAATGGTCACTGAAAGGTAAAATATATAAAAAGTATGTAAAAATAGGGACAAAATTATCTTATCACCTTAACATGAGCTACTGGTGCCACCTTAGTCAGAGAGGGGCATGTGCCCCCCCCTGCGACCAGTCGCGCTGACTGGTGTGGGGGAGAGGTTCCCCCGCAGTTGATCTCGCTACTTCTGGGAGCAGCTGCAGTGATCCAGCTGCTTCTAGGAGTGGCTGCAGTGATGGGCTGGCACTTGCAGGGGGGGCACTGGTCCTCCCATCTACCCCCCCTGCCCATCGCCTAAGTGGCAAGCACAGCCAGTCAGGGACCAGCACTCTCAAGGGGTGCACATGCACCCCCGTGAACCCCCTACGTATCACCACTGCACTTTAACTAAATAGCTTAAGACGTTATGCCACTTTGTTTACATAAAGTACTCTGTGAGGTTTAGGCAGGCATCAACAATTTCTTTTACAATGGAATGCAGTTTAACCAGATAATTAGATCATGAGCATATGGAACTCAATTACATATAATGTTGAAATCAAATATTCATTTTATTTATTATAGCCCTTTAATTAAAAATAAAACCTTATTGGTTTTCAGTGTTTGAATATAATTTTTTTAAAGAATTATACACACACATGTTGATACATCCTAAAGACAAAATACCAGTGTGTTATAATCATAGCATAGGGAGCAAAGGAGAGATTCTGATTTTCCGCTTTAATAATAGAGACTATTTGGATGCATGTTTAATGCAATGTTCTTGATAAAATCTAGGCACCCATTTTCCAGGCTAGACTCTAGGAAGATGCATGGAGTTAAGATTGAAAAGAAAAATCACCTTGCTGATAAAAATATTGGCCTTGAGGGCCAAATTTGTTCGTTAATGCAGTAGTTTTTACTAACTTCATTTCAACCCAAGCTGAAGTACACCTTTCCAATATCTAACATGCTTCTACCCAAAGCTAGTTTACACCTTGCTTCTAAACCCCTTCATACCTTTCTCACTGAAGTCGCTAGAACCCATATATAAACGTTCTATTAATTGTTACAAATGGTATCTTTGGCCACACACTGAATGTTTTACTTTTAGAGAAGTAGAGTTTTCAGTTAAAACAAAATCCTGTTAAATAAATCCAAATACCAATTTTTCTGTATCATCTACAGCTTCATATACTATGAAGGAAATGGTCACATACCTCTGAATAAAGTATTCCCATGACTGTTATTTGCCGCTTGACTACAGCCTTTTTGTGCTCACCTGATTCACAAGTTCACTTGACTTTGAATTGCTCCTGAGTTTGTTTAAATCAAAGTAATATTTAATCTCAAAAGTCCCTTAACTGAGCGATATGGATGATACCCAAGGTTTCCAAAGATACACTTGTTTTCTGGGGTTTCCTAATCTGAGACTATGAAAAAATGTTTCCAAAAGGCCCAACCCACTGAGGTAAATGTGAGAGTATCGGTTTACAAGGCTGTCAGAAGTAGAACAAGTTACAACAGAGGGATGTTTTCCTTAGCTGTTTTTTGCAATGTCAATACCAGGTTGCCCAAAAGGAAGATGGCAAAATAGCCACAATGAGAGTACATTTTCACAAAAAAATGTATTAAAAAAACTGAAAAATAGGAAATGGATTTCAAAACAAGAAATTATACGACTATATGTCAGATTATCACTCAAATATAAGAAATGTAATTGCATAATATAATCCATAAAAGTGCAGAAATTGTGATTGAAACTCACAAGGTTGGAGTTAGCATACCCATTGGAAAGAGAACTGCAGATTTGCCTTGTCAAATCCACATATTTATATTAATATCACATAAATCAGAAGTTATAAATTTAATTTATAGTCCTGCTAATAGAGGATTCCCTTTAGAGCACTGCCATGTAAGTATTAATTGGGCCAATATGTTAGTCCTGGCTGGCATTCTTTAAGAAAAAGAAACTAATAAAAAATGATTGGATCCTGCAGCTGTTCAGTTTAGTGAGTGGATCATGTGCAATTACATCAGATCCCTTATTAAGAAATATGTCCTGGAAAGTTTAGACTATAATCATCACCTCTTACTCACTCATCCCACTCCCTAGCCTAACCCAAATGATGGACATAGTTCCCCTCCCTTTCTGCCAGTCATGGGCGACTGATGCCACCTTAGTCACCAGTCAGCGACCAGGGGAGGGCCATTCTCACCGACGGGGGCATGGTCCCACCATGGCCAATCTTGCTGACCAGGGGGGTCCCCCCATGGCCGATCGTGCTCCTCCTGGAAGTGGCCACGGTGCTCCAACTCCCCGGCCAGGGCTCACGGGGGGAACCAGCACTCCCAACTGCCCCCCTGCCCGTCACCTAAACGGGGAGCATGGCCTGTCAGGGGGGTGAACCAGCGCTCTCAGGGGGTGCATGTGCACCCCTGTCCATCCCCTACACATCACCACTGGTGCCAGTTTACACTTCAGTGGAGTTCTGATAATTAGCCCTTGCACCCATGGCTTCTTGGCCCTAGGCAGTACTGTCTGTTCTGGCCACCTGCCAGCTTATTGGGCTGGGCCCTGTGTCCACGTGGAGCCTGGGTTCTGGAGCTCACTCTGACTTGGGGCAAGGGCCCATGAAGAGCATGCTCCCTACCAGCTACCCATCCCACGCCAGGAGCAGGGTGTGGCGGAGTGCCCTGTCATGCTGCAGGCTTGCCATTTTTCCTCAGGGGCAGCTGCAAGTCTGCCACCTGTGGATTGCACCAGTGGTCGTTGCCCCAGTAAATAAGTGGCTCAGCCAGGTCCCTGCTACAACATCCTTCAAACATCCACCTTTCCCAGTAAATTTGCTCAGTGATTTTCAACCACTAATATACAGACGTGCACCACCTTTGAATCATGAGTTTGCAGCTTTCCTAAGATGATGCAACACTGTTTCTAATGTGACCATTCCTCCAAGTTAAACTATTGCAATGTGTTTGATTTAGCACTGGAAATCATTAATTTGAACAGATTATTAGTGCCATATCTTCAACTGGTGAAAAGAGGGGTAGCTTCTTAAATGTCAGCAAAGCCTACCCCAGTTTAAATGTGCTGAGGATCTTGCCCATGCATTTATTTATCAGTAAGGTATGATTATATAAGCATTTCTTCATTTTTAAACTACAATACCTGCTTATACTACCTGCAAATAAGCTTTAAACGGATTTGCTGTCTGAAAACTGGCTTAACCTGTTGCACCAGTAACTTGGACTCCTTCCCAGGGTGTGTTTGTACCTGCATGTCAATCTTGTCTTTATAACTTGTTAATATTGAAGATACCTTAGCAGTGTTATAGCTAAAGTCTCCTTTACTATTCTAATAAGGAAAGATACAGTTTGCTTTTAAAATGAGGTTTATTTCCTCTTTATCCTAGCCCTTCTCAGAGGCAGAGTCAGAGTCAGATACAGATGAGATCCTATGTTTTCCTGCTTTTCCAGGCAATAGGATCACATAAACCAAAAACACTATATTTGACAAACTGGCCAGACGGAATTATTCTGTTATTTCTTGTATTTGTATATCTTCATTGCTAATCTCTTCTATGTAACAACAGCTAGTTCTTGCTAATGTCTTTCAGGAAAAATAACTCAGGAAAAGCTTAACTTACGAATGGCTACAAACATAAATACAGACTTTTATTTGTCTAGCATATGACCCTTCCAATCAGTTTGGAATGTAGTAGACTTGATATCTGTTCTATGGTCCCATTCTTGTAAATGCTTGCATATGTGAGTAATTTAAGACACACCTCTTGAGCACAAAGCCTGTTCAGAATGGCAGTTACTCAGTTATATGTGTTTGCAAGATCAAAGTCTATATTTGTTTTTATAACACTTCTGTGGCTGGATGACTTTGAGAGACGCAGATTTTGCATTAGAATTGCAAGCAATTCTAACATAGCTAAAGAACATAGCTTTCTAACAATCTTTGTTGCCTTTCCACATTATTCCTTAATTTTATTAATAACACAAATGAGACAATACCATAAAGTGAAACAACTAGGATAGGGCATGTGTAGTACCCCAGACCAAACTCTTAAGGACAAGCAAATAAATTAATTTTAATCCAGTGCAGTACAATTCAAAATTGATAAGCACAAATATATGCTGAACATTCAAGTCATTAATAAGAAAAAAAATGTCACCTTGGTGGATAAATTCAGCAAAGGTTGAAATGGAGATTAGTATCATGTAATAACCAGAATACATATGACAGAGTTGAATGTAGCACTTTACAAAATGTATTAAGGCAAGGAATCTGACTGGGAAATTTACAATATAATGATCAATGTACTGCACTCCACAGTTGTTAGGTTTTCCAATGCCACCGCAAACTATTTATTTTTGCTCATGACAGTGTGTCATTAAGTAGCCACTGATTCATGGTGGAAGCAAGAGGACAAGATACCTTCATCCACTTTGCAAGCAATCATTGACATTGTCTGTCTCTCAACACATTGGCCTTGGACTTAAATCACCATATTTATAAAGGATAAAACCATTAAAGTTTCCCTGAAAGAATTCCTTTCTTTTACTATAGGAGCAGAAATGTGGAATAAGTCAGGGAAACTGGCACTCCTCCTACCAAATAGGGAATATGATCTCATTGGCATAACTGAGACCTGGTGGGACACCACACATGATTGGGCTGTATGCATAGAGGGGTATAGGCTGCACAGAAGGGATCAAGTAGAGAAGAAGGGAGGAGATGTAGCTCTCTATGTAAAGGAGTGGAATGCCTCCTCAGAGACTCAAATTGTTTTGAGAGAAGGGTGACTCAAGACTCTGTGGATCAAGATATGGGAGGGACAAGGAGAAGAGGACTTGATGGTAGGCATTTACTATAGACTGCCACACCAGGAGGAGGAGCTGGATCTGGAATTTTCCAAGGAACTGATGGAGGCTGCACGTTCAAGGTTGTCATGAGTGACCTTAATTACCCTGACATCTGCTGGGAGAAGCACATGGCCAGATCTGACCAGTCACATAGGTTTTTTACTTGCATGGAATAACTTTATTTAGTACAGGAGGCGATGGGCTGACCAGAGGGAAGGCTTTGTTGCATTTGGTTCTAGCCAAAGGGGATAGCCTAGTGGGAGATCTGAGGATTGAGGGTAATCTAGAAGATAGTGATCATGAGATGATAGAAATCACTATCCGTTATAGGGCAGGGAAGCCAGCCAATAGGGCAGAGATGCTTTACTTCAGGAAGGCTGACTTCAATAAGCTTAGGAAAATAGTGGGATATACCCTATGGGAAGAGGGACTGGAGGGAAAGGGAGTTCAGGAAGTGTAGTCATTCCTCAAAGGAGCAGTCCTCAGAGGACAGAAAAGGTCCATTCCTATATGCAGGAAAAGTGGTAAAGAGGCAGGGAAGCCTCGTCTTACCAGAAGAGTCAAGGGGTGCTTAAAAAAGAAAAAAGGGTCTTACAGACAGTGGAAACAAGGGGTAGTTACAAAGGAAGAACACACAAGTATAGTCTGTATCTGTAGGGAGGCAAGGGCATAAGGAAGGCAAGGGCATCAACCAAGATCAGGTTGGTGACCAAAATCAAGAACAATGAAGTCTTCCTTTAGGTATATTAAGGAGCAGGAAGAAGACCAAGGGAAATGCAGGGCCCTTGCAGAATGGGACAGGACAGCTGATAATAGACAGTCAGGAGAAAGCTGAACTCTTTAATGAATACTTTGCATTGGTGTTTTTGTATACAAATGGTGGTAGCCTGCCTGGCTGGATACTGGATGGTTGTGGACTAGGGCAACAAATGCCAACCAATGGTCAGTGTTGAACCCACCTTCAAGCGTGGGTGCACTTCAAGTAGCTGAATGTCTTCAACCCAGCAGAACTAAATGGACTACACCTAAGAGTGCTGAAGGAATTGGCTGGAGTCATTGAGGGCCCGTTGGTGAAGGTGCTTGGGAAAGGTCCCGGAAGACTGGAAAAGGGCCAACGTGGTGCCAATCTTTAACTGGAGGAGGGAGGATCTGGAAAAATATAAGCCAGTCAGTATGACCCTGATACCAGGTAAAATTTGGATAAAATTATCAAGAAGTCCATTTGTGAGAGACTGAAAGAAGGCACGATGCTGAAGGATCGCTAACATGGTTTCATTGAGGGCCGGTCATATCTGACCAACCTTGTCTCCTTCTATGATCAAGTAACAAGCTGATTAGATGTGGGAGACACAGTTGATGTTATATACTTGGATTTTAAAAAGGCCTTCAATATGGTCTCCCATGACGTTTTTATAAAAAAATGGGGAATAGTGGGATGGCACAGTCCACAGTCTAATGGATTGGGAACTGCCCAATGGATCAAACCCAGAGAGTGTTAGTGGACAGGTCTGTATAATCTTGGTGGGAGGTGGCCAGAGGTGTCCTGCACG